ACACACACACACACACACACACACACACACACACACACACACACACACACAATATTAGGCTATTCAAGGGGCAAAACTTAAAGTATATTTAACGTCCGTCTCCAATAAGGCCTAGATCCAGTCAAATTAAATGGAATAAGAAAACTATGACAATTTTACAAAGTGACAACAAGAGTCCATGAACGCCCTGCCTGGGATTCGAGCCAGGACTGTCCGCTCAAAAGTTCAGCTTGACATCAACTAAGTTAATAGAGTGCCAGTGTCTTGTTTATCTTTCAATTTGTCTGTTAGTCTGCGTGCTTTTGTTAACATTTTCAAGTTTTGAATTTATATGTTGTCTCATTTCTTAAAAACGTTTTATAAATTAAGACGTCTTCATTTCACCAAAGAAAACAAAATGTTCTCCACCGGTTCAGCAAATAAACGACAAAAGTATTATTGCGTTAGGGGTAAAATGGTCGCTTTTAAGCACAAGAGGGCTATCCCGGAAATGCTGTTTTGAGAAAATGGAAGGTAAAGTTTTGCCCCTTGTTCAGTTTCTTTAAATCACCAGGGGAGTTTTCTCAAAAACCAAACAAATATACACACCAACGAAACCAAACTTCTCCTATAGATAAGGCAATGCCCACATTTGGTGTAGGTCAAGAGTTCTGGAAACCCCCGAAATGTGGGTTAAAAGCGACCAAATATAAGACGTACTTTCAGCCCATCTTGGTTTCATTTTGATTTTTAATGCAAACCATTTTCCCCGTTCAAATGAGGCCTATGCAGTCTTATCAAAGATGTTACACGAGATCTCTATGGCAGTGCCACACTTTTGCTTTTCCTTTCCCTCAATGTTTAGTTTTGATTTTATTTCTTTTGTAGTATACACAAGGACACAAATCACATCGATAATTACGAGGGGCGCTCAAATATGTTTTTTCCATGATGACTAAGGAAATAGCTAGAAAGTTGAAATTTGACCCTTGAATAGGGTGGGTATGGAGAATTTAATAGACATAATATGCTTTGCTAGAGGGTTGTAGTGCAGCAAAAAATGTTTTTGCAGCTTGTATCGTGCTTTCTTGGCCTTCTGGTCTGTACGCCCAGAAAGACCAATTGATTAAATAAATTATGAGTCTAGCTGTATTTGCAGGGTAAGATGTTACGCGCTATCATTTATTTTCATTTTATTTTCCGTTCGCAGTATACTGGAGCTTGGTTCGAGCTGGAACGTTTTCCGACTTTCTATGAGCTGGGCAGCATATGTGTCACTGCCCATTATGGCGAAGCTGGTGATGATATCATCAGTGTCAGAAACGAAGGAGTGCTCGAGTTCATATTGTGAGTACTTACATATTATCCTAGCGTAGATATTTAGTTAGATAGATAGATAGATAGATAGATAGATAGATAGATAGATAGATAGATAGATAGATGGTATAAGTATTAATATAACAACGTGTCCATAAATGTATGGTGATAAAAACGAGGAGAGTATTTCTCAAGCGAAATAGAGGGATTAAAGGATAAGATGACTTGGGTTTTGCTGTTGGCGATGAGACCAAATTCTGGCAGAGGAACGTTTTGAACTTTTAAAGGTCCACTCCACTGATGGATATGCGCTGCTTGCGGGGCTTCTCTCTTGGTTTCATCGTTTTTATTTGTGAAGCCTCATTTGCTGCCCACTGTGCCTGCTCCTCTCCAGCTTAGTCTGTCAGGAGTTATGCTGTCCCATGTTGAAATACTTAGGTTGAAGTCCTTCAGGGACATTTTCAGGGTGTCTTTGCAGTGTTTTTTGGTGCACCAACCTTACGCTTTCCCTGGGACAGTTCAGAATAGAATACTGCCTTTGGTATCCTGGAATTAGACATTCTTACGACATGGTAGGGCCTGCAAAGTTGAGTCCTTTTGAGCTTAGAAAACAGATTTGCCCTTTGTCTGGTATTGTATCATGCCATTTGATGCCAAGAATTCTGTAAAAGCTTTTCAAATGGAAGTGATTTAGCTTCTTCGCATGGCTTTGGTACACCTTCCAGGTCTCGGCACCATACAACAAAGTTAGGAGGACTATCGCAGAGCCGACTTCCAAATTTGTCTCTGAGCGAATGCCACAGCAGTCCCAAACCCTTGTTCTTAGTTCCCCAAAGGATGTTTAAGGCTATCAACATAGTTCAGTATATTTAAAAATGTATTTTGATTTTAGAAAGGAGGGTCTGCATATCACCAGGGACAGGCCAGAATATAATGTCTGTCTTTACTGCGTTTATTATAAGTTAAAATGTCTCACATGCATTTGAAAAACAATTAACACCGTTTTCCTTTGCTGGATTCTTCATGAGCAGGTAATGCACAATCATTAATAAATAGCAGTCCACAGACATGCAACATTCAATATTGTTTTCCTTCTGCCCGCAACCTACTAAAGTTAAAGACTTTACGGCTCAGTCTGTCCCTGATATCAACGCCAGATGGGGATCTCTGGAACACATCTTGTATTATTGCTGAGAACAAGATGCTGAAAATATTATATCACATTTATTATAGTTATTACAATTACAGTTAATATTATTATTATTATTATTATTATTGATATTTTTATTATTATTATTATTATTATTATTATTATTATTATTATTATTATTAGTAGTAGTAGTAGTAGTAGTAGTATTATTATTATTATTAGTATCATTATTATCGTTATCATTCCTCTTCTTCTTCTTCTTCTTCTTCTTTTTTTTCTTCTTCTTCTTCTTCTTCTTCTTCTTCTTCTTCTTCTTCTTCTTCTTCTTCTTCTTCTTCTTCTTCTTCTTCTTCTTCTTCTTCTTCTTCTTCTTCTTCTTCTTCTTCTTCTTCTTCTTCTTCTTCTTCTTCTTCTTCTTCTTCTTCTTCTTCTTCTTCTTCTTCTTCTTCTTCAATCGGATACCCGCGTCTGTCTGCTCTTATTCCGAATTCCTCTTAGCTCAGGTTGTCCTTGGTAAGCTGGGTCGAATCAGTATGTCTCTTAAATAGATAAGATTGTGTTGGTGATGGCAAAACACTTCTGCCAACACAAATTAATTCTTTTTTATCCTCAGCTTCGGAATTTTGTTCGTGTTCCCGGTGAGTATTGAGGGTCAGGCCGTGGCCCCGGACCCTGCAGAGCCTGCAAGACTGAGGGTGTCCTTCTTCGGAGGTAACTACTTCTTCTTTTTGTTTTTCTTCTTGTTCTTCTTGTTCTTGTTCTTGTTCTTGTTCTTCTTGTTCTTGTTCTTGTTCTTCTTGTTCTTCTTCTTCTTCTTCTTCTTCTTCTTCTTCTTCTTCTTCTTCTTCTCACCCCAAAGATAAAAACAATGTTGAAAAAGGTGTTGGCATCGAGTAATTCGGTCTCTGTGCAGGGAATGTATTTTTTAAATTTCTTTCAGCCCAGGTTGGCACTGGCGTCAGGGTCGGAAGCCTACCTCCTAAATAATCTAAATTGTGTCAAAGAGGACGTGAAACACATGCATGTATTTTTTTAAGGAAAAAGAAATAAAACAGGGGTTTGTAGTAGCAAGTGAAGGGGAGTGAGATAGAGCGAGAGGGGTTGAGGGAGGGAGGGGGTGAAGGGTAGACAAGACGTTGTGCCTTTGTGTCAATGTGTTTCTCTGTACACAACTAAACAAACAAACAAACAAATAACAGACAAGATAACAAACAAAATAAAATATAAAAAGAGGTGTGTCTTAGAACAAAACACGAGAACCTGAGCACAAGAACAGAGCGTTGCATGGTAGCGTACCATCGAACTTGCTCTAACGGCCATCTGTCCAAGACTATCAAACGTACAAACTATACAACTTTCCGTTTTCCATTCGCTTTCTTTCTACATTATGATGACACTGTTCAAGACCTCCACCTATGTAAGATAACCTTTTTTATCCTCAACAATGAATGACTGTCCTGGACAATGTTGACTGTATCTGTAAAATTACCTGTACTCGTATTGGAGTGACATTTTACGGATGTTTCTGAAACCCCAAAACTAATTTAAGTATGCATTATGCTTGTCAATGCGACCTATATTTCCTCACTGTGATCAATAGAAATAGGCGAGTGGTTGGGGTAACTTACTTGATTGCTTGGTTCCAAAACTGGGTTCTTTCGAGATGGATTATATTAATATTCACAATTCCTCGCCGCTCATCAACAGCGTCCGTCTTAGAAATTCATACCGATCGTTTACATCACTAAATGATTGCTGATGCGTCTGCTTGGGTTAAGAAGGTTGCTGGGGTTCACATGGCTTTTTTCCTTTCCTTTTCAATATCTCCATTGTGTTGAAGCAGTCTTCGCTGTTGCCCACCAGATTGTCACATGCAGGTACAATCACAGTAGGAGGATCCAGTGTGAAAGGACGCTTTACGTTACTCCAGAGCTACCTGCCAGTTGATCTGCTCGCTCATTCCCTCTTACACCTGCATGGCCAGGACAGAAGCTCCAGGTGGTCGCCCTCAGATAGCTTCCTTTGATTTTGCTGAACCAGTCAGCATAGAGGCACCGCGCCAGATTTTTTCAAATGCGCTTATCAGTCAGAAATGTAACAGACTGATATGTGCAGTTATTTATCCATTTGAAAGCCCTAAAGGTTGAGGGAAGCTATTGGTTAGTCCTACTTCATTTCTGTCCCGATTTTGCGTCTGTCTGTTTGTCTGTCGGTCTGTCTGTTTATCTGTCTGTCTGTCTGTCTGTCATACTGCATCTCCACAATTGTGTCAATGAGCTCCCCTGTTCCCTGTACGCAAACAAACAAACAAATTATAACAGAAAGATAACAAACAAAATAAAAAGAAACATTTTAATGCATTCAGTTTATTTGTTTCTTATTTCTGTGTAGACGACGAGGGCGCAGATGCCAACTACTTGGTTGTGGACACGGACTACGACAGTTATTCAGTTGTCTTCTCCTGCCAAGAGCTCTTCGGAATCATCAACATGCGTAAGTAAAGATGTCACAGGTACTGAGAAAACCCAGAATCTATAATTGTCCGGATTTTCTTATATGATTACACTGGTCTTAGAACCAGAAACAGTCATTATGCTTCTTCATTGTGTAAACAATCCTGACAATTTCTGGGGTTATTTTGTTGCAAAGAAACCTATACTGCACAAAGGAGAACGATACCAAACTTTAAAAGGCCTGTCGCTATATTCTAAATTCGAAGTTTGCGATTCAAAAGTGATGTTTGAGCCCCATAGCAAGACCTTTTTGAAATCCGTAGAATGGTAAACCAAGCGCATTTCCTTAGAGAGCCTAAACAGGTGGGTGACGGGCAAGGATCAGGAATAGCTTTATTGAGAGCACCAAAGCAAAGGAATGACGGCTCAAACATGATCGCCGATATCTGTCACATATCTGGTACTTGATGATAATGATTATTCTCCTGCTTATAGCCCTACGTTATTTATATTTTCATCTTTTTTTTATATCGTAATGCTTTTTTTATCCAAGCAATAGTCTTGATGTTAGTTTCAGTAGACAAAATGCTCCGTAAATTTGGAGTACTCACATGCAAGCTGTATTGAGGTCCGAATGGTTCAGGAATTTTGCTTGTAGCCAGTTAGCACCCCTGAAACATGCGTTGATAGCCAAAAAGATGCAACAGTCACAACAGTCACTGTGTATTGTGGATTTAGTAAACCCCTGTCTACACTGATTTGATCCTTCAGCAGGCAGTCTGATTCGATCCTACTATTAGGGCCAAAGAGGGCTCTGAGTGATACATTATCCCAGCAGACAGAAGGAGGTACTGGATGTATAAGAAAAAATCACCACTCGGGAATCGAAATCACATCTTCTGCAGGCGGAGGCAAAGCGCCTTTCCGCTAAACCACAGACGTAGGGGGAAGGGGGAAGGGGGTGGGAGGACAAAAAAAGAGGATTGAATAGTATACTTTACAGTTCCTGTACTAAAAGAATTTAACCTTGTGAATAAATAGGCGTAGGTTGGTCTTTTCAAACTACCCATCAATTCAGTTTATATTAAAGGGACAGTCCAATGAATGTACTTTTTAACACAACGTCACTTGGTTTCTTTGCCTTCCATTACATTCCTGTTAATTTTGACATTTAAAGAAATGTCCATCGACAATGATCTAGACGATCTTTCGATGAAAGTAAACTAAACCGCCCCCGTCCCCCCTCCCTCTCCAACCCTCACTATTTCGGAACACACTTGATCTAGTACGCCCAATTTGAAGTCTTCACTCTCCTTGGGTATGTTTGAGTCGCTATACGTTCCGTACGAAACACCTTTCAAAATTTTTTTAGAACGCTGGTCAAACTTTACTTTTACCGTTCCTCCCCCTCCCACAGAGACTGCCTGGATTCTGACCAGGGGACAAGGTACGGTGCCAGCCAATATTGACGACCTGAAGAGCACCTTGACCTCTTTCGGAATTGATGTCTCAGATTTTCAAGAAACTCGCCAGACCAACTGCCCGTCACGGAGTCGTAAATAACAAAACAAACAAAAAACTCAAATTTTAATAACGTTTGCCAACTCTGTACAGAATAATAGACACCTAACGGTAGTGTTGCGAGTTATATCTGTACAGCTTTGCACAGAACAATAAATTAGAATCAGTGCACAAGAAATGTGTTTACGTTCTTAACAACTGTTGTCTTATTTACTTATTTACTTCCGCCTCTAGACCCCTTGCAGAGCGTATGTAGGTTATTAAAAAGCACTCTCTCTACATGTCGGGATATTATCAACTTCTGTGGAGTAGCTTCGCTGTCGCACGCTGGAATCTAAGTTTGGTATCCGAAGGGGGAGGCATTTCTGTTGAGTGTACACTACGCCGGTCTGTACAGTTGTGTTGATATTAGTCATAGATCTATAATAATTTTCTATGTTAATAAAATAAAACAAACACAAATCAAAGAAAGAAAAAAAAAACGTGCTTAGGTAACGTAGCGGTGAGGTCATCGAACTCGTCATCATGAGTTTGTGGGTTCCGGAACTGGAGGCTGAGCTCAGGGGGTCGGGGTGGGGGGGGGTGAGGGGGGGGAGCAGAAATAGTCTGAAATTGATGACATAGCATGATATATGCGTAGGATATATAATGGTACACACATACACACATATACGGTCACACACACACACACACACACACACACACACACACACACACACACACACACACACACACACACACAAATACACACACCCCAAATAGCGCATAATATGATATTAAGAATGTGTTATATGAATTATGATGGTAGATCATGATTTCCCTACGAGTGAAATTAGCAAGTTGTTATCATGTATTTCAACGAATGATTACAACTGGCAATTTCACGATTAGGATAAATCATTGTCTATCACCCTACCGCGTGTAAGACTTTTTTAAAAATACTGTACGAATGTCCGCTGATGAAACAGATCCGGACCAACAAAGTTCAAATTACCTGTGAATTGGTCAAGGGGTTCCACTCAAGAGTATCATTTGACCAACAACAAAAAATGTCCATGCCTCACTAAGTATATTATTCATTTGTCTCCCTCCTCGAATTAAACCACAAATAGAACAATAATAGCGCAATGTTTGCCAAGCAAGCAGAAAATACACGATATAGAAAGTGATAGATTAAGAAACTACAGTTATCTTCTATGCAAATGCCGCTCGTGGGCCTAAAAAGTGGGCGTGCACAATAGAGATAACGCAGGTTGAAGTTAGTCAAGGGAAAAGTTAAAGGAGTGGTGTATAATTTTAATATCTTTGAGCAGGTGAGGACCTAATGCTTAAAAAAAAATCAATTTCACCCATCCTGCATTGGAAGTGAACACTCAAACAATAACACTTTCACCACTCCACTACGCACCATTCAAAGGCAAACCTCAACAGACGGTGACCAAACTATACCACGTTCCCCTCCCTCAAGTTCACGGTCACATAGTCAGGGCAAGACCTAAATTTAAAGATAGTGGCAAGACAATGAACCAATTGTAATTCACTTGAGCACTCCTCTGAATTGCTCCGGGGCTCACATTATAGGCATAGAATAGTGTACGTCTGAGATTGCGTTTATTTTTAGATTGTCAGCTGAGGGCAATGTTTCGGCCTAGTTTTTGGTTTCTGCATCATTCGGCAGGAGCACATTTATTATTAATCTTATTAGTATTAATGTACCGCTAAATTTGCTACGAGTGTCGTCATTGCTTAGGTTAGCCCAAATAGCGATTAATAGGTCAGATAACCACTTCTGAACAGTTTATTATGTTTAGTTAAAGCGCGTGGACTTTGGCATGACACAGTAGATGTTTTACGGCACTATAGACATAGAAATGGCCGTTAAGGTACCAGTGAGGACCTTGTATTCATAAAATATTTGGCTAGTGCTTGTTGCTGGCTTCTTTTATTTGCTGTTTGTGGGTGCTTTATGCAATACAACGTTAAAAAATTTAGGGCGACACTGCATGACCGTGCTCTATGGACGAACCATCCGTGCTTATATGCTATGGTGTCGCTAAAACAGAGAAAAATGTTGCTTTGATATAAAACATCGCCACCAAAACTACCCAAAGGTCATGAGTCATTTGGTGAAATACACCAATGTACTCTAACGTAATCCCGGTCCACTCAAGTATTGTATTAGGCCTACTTTACTTAATTCATAATCAAAGAGCAACGGAAAAAGGTTGCGCGTACTCTCGACTACAGCAAGATTTAGAGACCTTTTTTACTCTTCTTTTTGGGCGCAGTTTTTATAGACGACAAAGAGCGGCTGCCATAACATTGCATGGTATTTGGTGCTTCCAGCAGGACTTTGCTATAACGCTATAATAATACTGTGTTTATCTGGTATTTCCCGTTTTCTCGTTATACAGCGTTGAGTGTGTCTGTATTCCATCATCTTCACAAGATACAGACCCGTTCAACGAACGGTGATATAACAGTAACAGGAAATCCCAATATAAAATGAGACACGTCGTGGTGGAATCAGGCGCTCGTCAATTTTTGGGCATATGAAGTTATTGGTATCATCTTAAAGGCTGTCCATTTGCCTTGCTTTTGATGAAAAAATATTCATTTTTCACGGGTACAGTTTGAGATACTGGCGATTGAAGGAGGTAGGGGTGGCCTGGTTTCAGAGGACAAAATTAGTGAGAAAATGGTCCCAAAGTTTTGTTATTTCCTTAGCTTGAGAGTGCATGGAAACTTAAAAATTACATCTTTTATTCCTGTAATCAACGTTTTTCAGTAAAATCCACACAAAAATGTGTTCTTTAAGGGGCATGAAAGGTGTAGAGCCAAAATACAAAAATTCAATAAAAATTCCCAAAGATATTATATATAGTGATCAAGATCGAGACGCTACGCATTAAATTCGCTCCGAATTCGGTAAATGTCAATACAACGAAGTGAACATTTTGTTGGTTCAAACGAACTTAACGTGTGGGGGACATCACTACACCCAGATAGATATCTTCTACAAAAATTCAATACAATGATGTTTGACCTGAAGTACCCTTCGACACTGCGAAGCCCACATCCAAACAGAGTTTGATATCGAGATTCTAGATCTGGATGAGTAGAAGCAGCTTTGTAAAGAGAGAGTGAGAGAGAGAGAGATAGAGAGAGAGAGAGAGAGAGAGAGAGAGAGAGAGAGAGAGAGAGAGAGAGAGAGAGAGAGAGAGAGAGAGTCTTGATCTATGAAAAAAAAACCACGCACCAAATACGCGCCAAATGTGGAAAAAGTCAGCACAACGAAGTAAACATTTTGTGGGTTTAAATAAACTCAAAGTGTTGGGGACATGACTACACCAAACGTATCTAGAAAAAGTCAATACAATAATGTTTGGCCTAAACTATCCTTAGACATTGCGAAACACACATCCAAACAGAGTTGGATATCGATATTCTAAATCTGGAAATGGTAGAAACAGCTGTCTGTCACACACGCGACGAAGCACAAACTGAACGGAAGTAGCTCCCGGTAAAATATGAAATGGCTTATGGCAGAGTGAAAACATCTGGCTGAGAGTTACGATCTACAGGAAAAATCTATCAAACCTGAAAAATCAAAAGGTACTTTCTGAAATTTCAAACGATGCCCACGTAAACCTTTGTGACAATTCTTAAGTGAACAATATTTTTTTCGATTTTATGGGCTCCGGTGTAAAAAAATGTATACTGACCCCACTCTCTCTGTGTCTCTCTCTGTCTCTCTCTGTCTCTGTCTCTGTCTGTCTGTTTCTCTCTCTCTCTCTCTCTCTCTCTCTTTCTCTCTCTCTCTCTCTCTCTCACACACACACACACACACACTCACACACACACACACATACACACACACACACACACACACACACACACAAACACACACACACACTCACTCTCTGTCTGTATACATTGCGTATGTTTAAAGAAACTGCAACATTTGACCGACCATGTGAGGTTCGTCTGACCGGTCTATTCAAAGATCTACTGTGTTTATATTGTCTAGAGTCTAATCTGGATGGCTTTCGACTATTGGAATCAGCCCATCTCTTATTTCTGTGGCTACTTTCCCAAGTCCTTTCCAACCCCGTTTTTGTCTTTTTTAACACATTACGTTCAGTTCCGATCGCTTGGCGCACGGTGCTGTATGCAGTGCTTTAGTTGATTTGCAATTGATTAGCAAGAATTATGCAATCATTACCTCGCATAAAGCCTTCGTATTTTTTTCTGTTTATCCTTGACACTGACTATATTTTTCGTAAGGCATACGTCACATGCCGCTGTGGTTTTCCAGTGAGACGTGTTACAAACGATCGATTGCTTCAAACAGCTGGGTCTAACAAAACAAGATTAAGGCTAGATGTATATCTAGACAGCCGAGACTCAAACAATGAACAGCTTATTATGTTGCTAAGAGACAGAGTGGACCTTTAACTTGACTAAGAGATAATGGTCACTTCGCACCTTCATATAATTTTCGATTCGCTGAAATTGAACTACTGGCTTTAGAACTGACAAATGAGGAATTCGATTTCCCTAGTGTTTCCATTTAAGCTTTCCTATGATTATATCCAGACGCGGTTCGTTAACTGGGAAAGACCACCGGAGCCGGTCACTTTTAATCAGCTGTAGTGGACAAGAGATTGGCTTCCGACAAAAGTTCTTATTCAGTTTCGAGTAAATCCAAATTAATAATAATTTATCAACATTATAACACTTTCTCTATAAAAATACGCTCAAAGAGACATCAAGGGCTCGTCAATGTGTTGTTGCACCTCAGAAACTGGTTCCAAAATTTCAGTTTATCCCTCTTGCTCACAAAATTGTTGTTACCAGCAGAGGTCACGACGATGCGAGCTTTCGTATCGGGCACCCAGCGGTGACGTCACCCAGCCCTGCGAATTGAACAATTGCCCTCATAGTGGAAGGAGCCCCCATGAAGATCACCTTTCTTGCCAATTTGGCTCTTCTATTACTTACAACGAACGAGACTGTATTGAACAGTACATCTGATAACTTCATCAGTAATATTTATCATTAAACCTTTCTCTAGTCACTGTCGTTAACACAAACGTGTACTGTCATAATGGCTCAAATCTTTATTGTTGGATTTTGAGACACTGAAGGTTCTGTTTGGTGTTCTGTTCACCGCTT